TAACAACTCCTCAAAATCATTCAAGACTGTACACTGCATCTAGTAAATTGTATAAAAGGTGTAAGGATTTTCGAGTGCTCTAATACTGCTTACCCTTTAGAAAAGTATGAATTTATTTCTTTTTAGTGGGAAGACAATTCGTACGAATAGTTATGTGAAATGAAGCCAATCGGATATCGTGAGAAAGTAAGATAAACAATTAACATAAGCATTTGCCTTCTTTCGCACGTTATAATTTACGCTTGTAAAGACTTTAGGAAAAAAGCATGGTAGGGTAGGGTCACCCCTGCATCGTGAAAACTCAAGCAACCTTAAAGACCTTCCAAAGGTTTGTTAGACAAAATTAATAAATTATTGTATTGGATTTTAGGTTGAACTTTTACTGAGGCGAGTGAGATAACTCTGACATCTGTATATGTGAGACTATTTCAAGCGTTTAAACATAGCTAATAAAAAGCAATAAACAAAGTTAGCGATACCGTTAACTGCACAAAGTAAATCCTTGATGCAGGTTTCTTCGGCTTCGAAAATAGATGGAAAATACGCTTTTTGGTGTTCGATGGTGTTGTATTTTTCCGTTCGGATTTCACCCATTTGCTTCTGAAAGCAATATGAAAAAATGCGAAAAACAAATTTGCCACTTCAAATAACCCTCTACAGCTCATTAATGGTTGATTCTTGGCAGTGAAGGTATAGGCTCCATAGAGTACGACCAGGACGAGATTGATAAATAAGACGATACTAAAATCGAAAAGCAATCTCCAGATTTGGCTTGGATATTAGCTACCCCTTTAGCTACCCGCTCGGGTTCATATCGGTCGACCAAGGGTAGCAGAATTTCATGTAAAGAAATCATCTTGCATGCGACTTAGTGCATATGATTTACAGCATAAAATGTTAACTATAAATCTCGAGGACATACTTTATTTGCAAAGAATTGTCATCGAAGTGGCCATTTCTTGAGAAAGATTGGAATTCAGTAATGAATACGGCAGGTGCTTATGGCAATGATATATACCGTGATGACTCCATGGAAGGAAGCTTGTCCCAGTCTGGATTCTGGAAAACCGTTGACTTTTGGAAAAGTTTCCAAGGAACTCGCAGAATATCTCTAATTGCGCTGCTCTGTACAACGTTTCTGGTTCACTCCAGCACTACAAACTCTCATGTTGTTTGGCGACCTTGACTTTGGGTTTCTCTAAATGGTCTGAGCTGAATAGAAAGACACTTTTCATCGCACATCACTTATTCTTCATTTTTCCACCTCCAACCATACTGTGACATTCCGAAGACAGCCTTTGAGAAGTCGTGTCCGAGCCCATTGACTTTATCTCGGGAGCTTTTTCACAGGTACCTGATGCAAAAAGAAAGAAATACACTGCTTTATTTTGGTTTCTCGTATTATAGATTGGCAGCACTCAAAATAAGAAAAAGCAGTGGTCAATTTTGTACAGCGTTTTGGACTCCTGGCAGTAACTGAAAAGACTATTTTAGGTCTTCAAGACGATAGACCATGTCTAAAAATGACGCGTTTTAAAAAAATGACGCGTTTTAAAACATTAGAGCAGAAAATAAAATGGTTAAAGAGGTACCCTAATTTTACAAGTACAGAGAGCAAATGGATTTTTTTCAAGTCGACCAGTCCGAAGTCACCGAAGGATTCAGCGACTAAAAGACCCTCTATCGATGCGCCAACCTAAGAGGATCGTGCGGCTTAGCAATCGTTTTGCGAGGAATAAAAGCGACTGAACTGCTCGTTGATGTGGCGGCACAGGGCTGTAGCAAGTGAGCCTGCTCCAAGTTGCAAGGCATGCGTTAACTGAGACAACGCCCGAATAAGGCTGGGAATGCCACCTAGTTTACCATAATCTTTCTACTGCTGATAATCACTCGTGCAACATAATAGTTATTGGAACACGATTTTAAAAGATTTTTGAACTTGGACTTTCCTGCGTAAACATGGTACGTCATTGCGGTCCTTAAATTATAATAGCCGCTGTACCCGGCTTTGTCCGGCTGTCATGGTTGATTCCAAGATTCTAATCAATTATGGAAGTACATACATGGCATTTTAAGTAGTGTAATCAAAATCCTAATCCAGAAATTAATAGCGTTATCTACGTGCGAGACGGTCATCAACAACTTACGTGAAAGCTTGGTAATCAGCTCAATCGGTTCACGCGCAAAAGAGTCTATAAAAAACATACGGTCAAGAGTTGCATAAACTTTGACTTTATGTATATAGATATCGCATAAAAATTGTAAGCGCAATGCGATTATAAAACTTATGCCCTGCATAGCTGTATATACCACACTGGATTCTCAAAAAATTTCCTCTCTCTGTAACAACGAGAGAATTCTCGAAGATTCGCATTTCCGCCATTTTACGGAGAGCGACTTAACCTGGTTCTTTGGTTCCTAAAATGTTTGTGTGAAAATTTAGTCTACTCCACTTCAATATTCTGCTCGTCCGGGAAGGATACCAACTTAAATTGACAATCAAAGAAGAAGTCTACATTATTAGACGCGTTCTTGGAGCTAATCTCAAATATCTGTTTCCTTTTTTTGCGTCACATCCGTCCGAAAAAAGTTTTAAGCGTGTGAAAATTTTGAGTGGCATGAGATTAGCGAAAAGCCTTAGAAAAAGTGAAAGTGGGTGATCACTTTTGTACTAGGTACATCGACTACTAGAAAGGAACACGGCCGTTGGGACCCTTCACAGGTGTTTTTGCTGAGCTTGCTAATTTTCTGCTACATAAAGCTAGACAAAGTTAGACATTCAAACGGTCCGTACTTTTTTCGGAGGGTTGTTCCGCAAAAAGGAAAGCAGATTTGGAATTGGTTTAAAGAACTAGTAATATACAGTTCTTCTTCGAAGACGGACAGTTATTCTTTCCTTGTCAGCCAACCATAGGCTACTGAGCCGAGTTTGGCCTTCCTACCACAGTCGGGATTAGGTTATGGTTGCTTAAAGTATGCATCCAAAAAGCATGTTTGGCGAACTTTGGGAAAGAAAAATCTTTGCGTATTTGCTGCGACAATGTTTGGGTGCGCACAGGGCTCAACATGGGGTGGCTTTTTCACCTTTCAGAAACGAAGTTTTTATAGAGTTTTCATGAATGGATCAAACACGGATAACACAATATATGTAGGTAATGGAACAAAACTTAAAAGCAACATTGAACACACGAAGGCGGCAGGCTGTGTCTGGCGAGCACCGTTGCCCGCTTGGAGCAGGCTTGCCGCCGTCACAAAAAAATAGTTGGAATGCTGTAACTAGGCGAGGAGGAGGGATTTGGGAAGAGCTCAAGAACTCAGTTGTAGGGTTTTTAATGTAGAAAAAAGTCTTGTTAAACTGGTGAAAAAATTATGTAAAAGAAGTAAAATTTATGATCTTTTCTTTTCGCAGCCATCTCAGGTGGCTGTCTAAGTGATTAAAAAGCCACCTAACTATGAAAAAATTTTGTCACCCCTCATAAATTTTCATACATAGTCCCAACTCCCTATTGCCCATTTACACACCAATTCTGGTGTCTTTTCATTTCATCTTTGTAAACAAGGCTTTTAGTTATTTGGCAGGTTTATGTTGCGCGTTGAACCGGCAAACCTGTTGACACAGGAATTTTTGATTTTTGCAGAAATGGGAGTGATTATGAAAGAGGGGCAAGGAGGGGGGGGGGCTGGGATTTCCGTAAACGATATCTTCCTTGCTTTTTACTTCAAAACGATATCCAACTTGCCTCCTGAGCCACCTATGCCGAGTCCTGGTTACGCACAGAGTTGCCAAGTATTTGTTAATTGTAATGTTGCATTTGCCTCAATTGATCCTGGAAAAGGTCACGGTCTCCTGAAGAAAACTAGAACAGGTGGAACTTATGAACAAATTTTCAGAGATTTGTAGTTTGGTTCACTTTTTTAGCAGTAGTCCTCCAGCATTGCTTTTGCTAGAGCATGCCAATTATTTTCTCAGATTTTGGCCAAGGAAAAATACTGCTATTCACACACACAAGCTGATGCGATTAGTCATTTTTTTGAACAAGCCGGAAGTTTGTAGGTTTTTTCTGATAGAACCGCTATTTTTGATTACTAAAAATTCCTATTTTTTCTTCCAAATTACCTGTATTACCTCACTGTTTTTGCGAGTGTTGTAACACCTTCTTCTGAGCTTTTTTGCTCTATCGAATGATGTTTTTACTTGTATATTTTTTCTGCCATAGCAGGATAAATGTGCATTAGTCATGCATTTGGCTGATATGAATTTTTCTGAGACACTGCATAATGGTGTCATACCGCGCATAAGCTGCAGCTAACAGCCGTTAGCTGTATCGTTGACATGGAAGCGCGAGGACATCAGATCTTAGGCTATGTGCATCCGCCTACGTTTCTCATCTTATGCTTTTTATTTCCTGATTCCGCTAATGTGCAGTTCGATGAAAGGCGAAATCGAGAAATTGATTATCGATTGATCATCACTACCGCCTAACCAATTTAGGAGTCTTGACACATCAGAGGAAAAAGAATGCAAACACACTTATAATAATGTATCAAAAGTCGGAGGAGATCACATCTAACAATTCAATTACTTGCGAACTATTTAAACAAGACACAATAGAGCAGTTGGGGCACCGGTAGTACATAATCCATGACAACAGGATAATGACAACAATGGATACAAAGATGATGTATGACGAACTGCACATTAGTGAAATCAGGGAGCAAAAATCATGATAGATGAAAAGCGAAGGCGGATGTATCTAGCGTAGTAAAAACTTGATAAATTTGCGCTCTTATTATGTGATAAGGAAAAACGGCTAATGGCTGAGCTGCCTGCTGAGGGTGGCTGACAGCGGCTGCCGTCTTGGCATCGAGGCACCCAAAGCTGTATTTTACGTCTTTGTGATGAGACCTTCCCATTCTTTTGGCTCCAAGAAACACATCGTTATTGAAGTCCTTTATACAGTATCTATAAAATGCGGGAAGAAATGACTGTCGTCTGTATACTACTCATTCTTGCTAATCTCGACTTCTTTGACCGGAAGGATGTCTTCGAAAGCAGTGTTTTCGGCCTCCTCAAGTGCTTGTCGCATATGAGAAAAATTAACCTGAACAATAGGTATGAGATTGAATTGAATAATAAATGGATTCGATGTGCATGAGAGAAAATTTGAACAATCAGTTTTAACGGTGGAGTTCTGAGATTTTTGACTTTGACCCATCGGACCGCGTACATGAATGCGAGAAGTCGCCATGTCAAAACCAAAATTTGAAGCTAGTTTCTCTTGTCGATTTGTCATTTTGCATGCATTCATTCTCTTTCTCAAACTGTATTTCTGCTTTTTGGCTGTGGAGTAGTCACTGATTTGATCGCTGCGAGTGAACAAAGACTGTGCGACTTGAGATGTACCTTGCTGTATAGGTAGCATTGTCGGTGAACTTTGGCACTAAATCATTTAGTCATGCTGCATGTAAACTCTTGGCATAAAACATTTGGTACGAGTTTTAGGCCCGGAGTAACCCCCTCTCAGCTAAGATGATCTGCACCTGGCCCCTCAGAAGAGATCCGTAAGCTAATCTTACGATTCCTCTTGCCACAGTGCATTAAGAATGGACGATGAGCTTACAGCCAAGGGGTCGGTCAGCTGCCGCAATGAGCTGCGCTACCTACCCTAAGCTAAGCCGTCGCCATCGGCCTGACTTACGGAGATAGCGTGTTGCAAGGAGACGCAGACAGAAATCCCTAAGTTGCTCGTGAGTAATTTACGGGACACGGGTGGCATACGAATGGGGATGATCAATGAACAGCTGATCTCAGAAAAATGGGATATCAAGTTTTTTCTATAAATTTCGTTGGGCTATGTCGATCAAATCTTCATATTTTTCGAAGGATGCTTAAAATGGAAATCAAACTCTCTCTTTATCTTCTAAAAATCATTATTTTTTTTGGATCTTAGTGCTAAGTTATTGTATCCGGTTTATGTTCTCGTTTGCGCAGCAAAGACAGCGCCCACCATCGATTTTTTTATAGTGGCTGCTATCAAAGATTGCCCCGGCGATATAGCAAAAATGCCGGCACCTGCCGGTCGCAAACCTGGTGCTGCCGCGTGTATCACACTAGCTTTAGCCATTTGACCAAACGTGCACAACCTCTTCAGCTGTTTCTTTGAAAACACACATTTCTAGCATGCCCAGAAAGCGAACAGCATCCGGATCGATGGATCGCTTGACACCGCCGTAAGGCCAACCTAGGCCCGCCTCAGAGGAAATGCATGACAAGGGGTTTACTACTGGCCTTAGTTTTATATCCTTGCATTCTTCCAGTCATTCGGGGTCTAGCTCCTGATTCTCCATTCCTTTCGCTCCAACGCTTGCTGTTCAGTTCTTTTGAGCCCTCTCATATCTGCTTTAACTTTGTTTCATTCGCATTTTAGCTCTTCCTCTCGGCCGCTTTCCTGGTACGCTTTCTGTCATAGCCAGTCTAGCTACTTGGTTTTCATCTCTGTCCATACCACTGCAGCTGCCGTTCTTGTATCTTCTTGACGACTAGCGCAATCTTCATCATGCTTCGTAATGTGGTTCAGCGTGGTAGCTCCTATAGTCTATCGCAGCATTGGCGTCTCCATTACGCCCAATTCTTCTCTCTTCGTTTCGAGCACGGCCAGCATTCCTCTCCATAGATCGCTGTCGCTCGAACTATGCGGTATATTAACGGCCTGAAGTCCCGTGGCACTCGTCTATTGTACAGGACCCCCGTCATGCTCCTCCACTTCATTCAAGCTGCATTTTAGTTTGTATGTTTTTGAAGCAAAAAATGGAGTGGCAGTAATTTGGTGGAAACCATCATGTTAACTGTGTTTTCATGACATCAGCTAACCAGCAGCTTCACATCATTTCCCCAACGAAACCACGAATTGACCAGTAAGAAACCTCGAGATGCTATCTTGCAAATCAAAGTCATTGAAGGGGACCGAACTTCCAATCATTCTCATGCTTGACCGCCTTCATTGCACTTTGCCAAATTTGCAGTTCGGTTTCAGCCTTGCATCTTCCCATAACCTTATCTAAGCTGTAAACAAGTAAGCTTTCTCATAATAAGTTGCAGAATGATCTCCCTCACTCTTCTTAACTTGTAAAACCAACACATCATTGTTTTAAACGAAAAAGTGGTCGGGGGTACATTTTCATTTTGAACTAAGATGTGGTGGTTTCACGTCTGCGTCTCATGAAATGAAGTGCTGTTTTCATTACTCTATCTGATAAGTGAACAATGGTGTTAACCTGCTGTTTAACTCATAGTTTGGTATAGAATGAAACAAGCATGAAATAGTTATGGTTTTCTGCTAGTTACTTGCTTGTTTCATGATTTTGTATGACCGAGTGAACTGAGTGGCCGTGAAAAGATGATCATGCTTACCACGATGTAACCATGATTGAACTATCACATCATTTGTTGGTTTCGACCAAATTACTACCACTCCTGTAATTGTGTGCGGTAAATGTATGTCCCCTAGTCTTGTGCCAGACTGCGCGGAGGACGTGCCTTATACTACAAAGCCCTTGCCGTCACCGCCGTATTCGGCGCGCGCGCCGAGCTCGCCTACGGTATTCCGCATCAATTTTGCACCGGTGCGCGTGAACCATGAGGCATGCGCCCCGCTGCCTCATCCAGCTTCGTCGCGTCGCGACGTTGCGCGATATCGCTTCTAAAAATTTTTACATGAAAACACTCAGAAAAATTGCTCTTTCATTATTTTAACGTGCCTCGTTAAGGTGTAAACCTGAAAAAAAAGTTGTTTTTTTTCTTCTTTTTTCACTTGTTTCATGTTCGTTTTTCAAATAAAACAAAAGACTCCATTGACTCACCTCTACAATTATTTCTATATTCTTCTTTTCTTAATTTGTTTCGCTGTTGTTTTTGTCATGATATAGTTGCACAGTTGTCATTGCAGGCTGTGAACTGTGGGCTAGATTGCAAGCTGAGATTAGTAGCCCTTCAGCGATGCTGACCTGCGTCCTTAATTTACTAGAACAAATGCTTACGGCGGTGGGAAGACCTCTATGATGTCGAAGCATACATAAAGCGTTCAAACTTCAAACGTTCAAACGAAAACTTTGTTTATTTCCGTGATTAGGCGTGGCGTTAAACTTCGGTTTGATAAGAAATTTTCATTGCAATTCCTTTGTCTTTATTTGATAGAAAAAGAACATTGAAACATAGAAAAAAGAAAATGAACAAGCCGTTTTTTTACAATTTCACACCTTATCGCACTGCGACGGACGATGCCTTACGTTAATATCCAAAAAACAAGTTTTTCTGAGTGTTTTTACAACTTTTTCAAAAGTTGCGAGATCGCGGCGCACGTCGCCGCGACGAAGTTGGACGAGGCTGCGTTCGCGAGTTTGTTTTATGGCTTACGCGCACCAGTGCAAATTGGGTGCGAAATACTGTAAGCCAGCTCGGCGCGCGTGCCGACTCTAGCGGCGAGCTTTGGCGGCGACTGCTTTGTAGTATAACGCTACGCCGCCGACTGCGCGGGGTACGCCTCATATCTTCATGCACGTGCGCGTTATACTTTGGAATATTCGAAATTTTTTTTTCGAATAATTGAATATATTCGAAAATTAAAAATATCGAATAATCGAATACCGAATATTTTCAAAATCGAAAATGCCAAATAATCGAATGAATATTAACAAAACAAGAAAATTGTCGAATAATCGAATATAGAATATTTTCGAAATGAAAAAAATGTCGAATATCCGAATACATTCAAGAAAAAAATCCGAATAAACGAATACTTTGCAGACTATGTCAAATGTTGAAAAAAATTTTGATCGAATTAGCACAATGAAGGACTCCATGTAGTGGAAAATCGAATAACAAACGATATTTGCTGATATAGCAATTATAAGGGTGACGTTATCAAGCAGTTTCTCGATTACACGAAAGTGTCGAATTCGAATAACTTTTGAAAGTGAATATTCGAATATTCGGATATATTCGAAAATCAAAAATTTCGAATGACCGAATAACGAATAAATTCGAACTTGACAAATTTCGAATAAGCGAACATCGAATATATTCGAGGTTTTCAGGTTTTCGAATAATCGAATTTCGAATAAATTTTATTCGAATACTTTGTTCAATTACTCGAATACTTATTCGATTCGGTCTAAAGTATAGGTACGTAGCCGCGTACGCAGCGCAGTCTGACTCAACACTCAACAATTATAGACTTCTGCGTGAACAGATGGAAATGGAAGTCTCCACACTTATGTTCAGGGTTGAGCGTGGGGTCAGGCGCGCCCGACCTGGGGGATCATATTGAGGGTAAGACTGAGGGGGGAGAGGTCGTAATCAAGAATCAAATTAGTTGAGTTGGAAAGATACTGCGAAGGTGAAGAAGAAATGCGCTAGTCCAGTGGATAACGCGATCACATGAAGGAATGACTGTCATAAACAGCATACTGATTGTTTCCACAATTGAAGTTTCAGCCAAAATACAATCTTACACATATACATCTCTTTTACCTTGACATATGAGGTCGACAAGGAAGCTTGCTGTGTGAAATGGGTATCATTTCATAATCAGCATGTCAAATTACCTCTATGCGCTCTACAAACCATTACCTACTGCAGTTTCTAGTGTTTCTCAACGTCTAAAAAGCGTGATTTTCAAACGTGATCAACTTGGTTTCAGAAGTGAGAAAAGTCAGCTTTTGTATACTCATAACAAAGTAATGTTATATACAAGTCTATGCTACAAATCGGGCTTCATATCACTTTTAAACAGTGAAGTAAGCAGTGCTGCCAAAATTCTAACCGGCGCGTTTTTCACGTTGAGTGCTTCAACTCCATTAGCACAAGGCCGAAACAACTGAATCAAGCTCAAACACTTACTGTGGAATCTTCGAGGGTTGAACTAGCGAATCACGTAAAACTTGGGTGAAAATGCTTTGTCGGAAATAAAGTTAATGGGGTCAGGCGCAACCCCTCAAAAGGTCAGGCCGGCTGAGCTTTTGAGGGGTTGCGCCTGACCCCATTGACTTGCCTTCAAAATTCAAAAATCGCCCCTTTTTTGATATGAGTGTTGAGCGCAGAGCCTCTTCTTGCTGTATTGAAAATTTGGAGCCAAACACTTCACCCCTGTGAAAATTATAGCTTTGAAAAGAGGACTATCCAGATCTAAAACTTGCCGTCAAGTTGCGTGTGGTTGTGCAATCGCACAAAGTCGGGCCTACAGACTTTCAAAAAATAGAACTGCAGTGAAGGCTGGTCTTCTTCAAAATATAACAGCCTGAGGACTTGGAGGTGAAGCGGAGGGTCATTTAGGGGCTTTCAAAGAGGGGGGGGGGAGTCGTTTTGAAAGACTTGTGCCTGAACTCTTGCTCAATCCTGCTTACGTTTTCAACCGTAAATCGCTTCAAGTTTTTAAACGGATTCGCAAGGTTCCATCCAATTATCGATGTTGGCACCACCTTGAAGGGAAAGAATTCTTAAAATCCGCTAATCGACTTTACGTCCCTGTAGATAATAACAGCTCTTTTCTGCATTCAAGAAACTGCGCTGATTCTAAATAATGCTGTTTTAATGTATGCATATGCATTTACGATTCACCATACAAAGAGCAGGTGCTGCGGAAATGCAGAAGGAGGAAGGGAAGTACAGGAACGAAGACACTGATAAGTGCAAAGCAGTACACAAATTTTGTTTATGTACGTTGCCAAATAAAATTTGTGTATTTGCATTTTCGTAAACAAAACAACCACTAGAAAAAACTGCCTCTGTACGACAGCATCAAAGACGTGAAATAAATTGGTTCATTGCTCTACAAGAACAAGCGGACTCCAAACAGCTAAAAAGCATTCTATCTGATTATATAACAAGCCAAATGTTTTAAAGTTTGAGCTACTGCGGCTTCGAGTTTTTTCCAGAACGAATGCAGCTAAATATCGTCGAGTCATTCGTAGCTTAATATGTGAGCCTGCACAAAAGCCTTTTAATGGACGGCACCCTCAACTTTAACTTCTCGATCAAATCTTTTCTAGCTTAACAAAGTGTATAAGTATACTACCAACCAATTAAAACCCTTTCAAATTAAAAGATGCAAAAAAGACAAGGCGAATTTGCTGAAATGAGCAGGTTCCAATTTTCTAAGTTCTCAAATAGCGTGTATGGTATGCAATACGTTCAAGTTACAAATGGAGGATAATTGAAACTCTATCGATGAAGATAGAATTGTTCACCCGTACAAATGACATAGTTCCTTTTCTACAATTAGCTCAGGAACTTACCCGTCAAGGGTGTGAGACATCTCCCACATAAATGTTAGTGAGACGAACTTCCAAATTACTGAGTCCATTAAATCGCTTAGAACATTTTGCCAGATCAAGTCATTGACAAAAAACAACTCTTGAGTTAGACTCTGCAGGGCACGACAGTTGATTTTGAAATCTAAATTAGCTTGTTTTTTTTTGCTTACCTGCCAGAATAGTTTGGCATTGACAGCAACATCTCTGCCTCCAACTTTCTATAAATCACTCTGCAATAGCTCGTTTTGAATAAAGATTTCACTTACTTGTACAATAATTTTGATTGCAACGGCGGCATTGATAATCACTGTTACACCAGTAATCGAAAAAGTTGGGTAGAAGAACTTATAATCTTGAAGTTCTGATGAACAATTAACAAAATCCCATGACAACTGGCTGCGATTGTAAACAAATTCGCATTTTCCTAAACATTTTAGAGTAAACTTAACTAAGCAAAACAAGGAACACTTACTGATGATGTCGTCAATTTGGATAGCTGCTCCATAGAACACACCTCCAAAGATGAAAATCTGCAATATTTATGTGTGAAAAGGCACAAGCTATCAAGCGCACATTCCAACTACTCGTATGCAAAACCCCACCGAAGCAAAACGACCTCCACGTATACGACGGTAAAATGAAGGATGTAGGGCGGCAATAGCACGATTACAAGCGATTCCAAGTTGGAGGACAGGTACGGTGGCGTAACCGACACCAGCAAGTGCTTCTAGTTTTTCTTCAGCAAATGAGAGGTAAGCATTGGTATACAGACATTCGCTAAAAGACTATAATGGATTCTTGTCTTATCATTGACTGATTGAATCTATCTGACAAATCTACAACTCTAGTATTTTTGTTTTTGTTCTGCTTGTTTGTCTCTTAGGAACATTGTGCTAGAAATCGTTTATCGAAATAGATTTTTGTCGACTCTGGAGCCAAATTAATATCAACATAACTTCAGCATTGGCCCTTCTATATCACTCAATCAAAAGCTGTACGAGAATGGTTTAGGAATTCAACAATGAAAAAAAAACAGAAATGTTATTATGTCGCCGTGTAAGATAAATGGGCGATTAAATTTTTCCAGAACAAGGCAGAAATTTTATATAAGGCCAATCCTCGCCGGACCTAGGCCACACAATGAGCGATGTTTGTTAATATTTTACTCGAGGTTGTGTGATCGCGAAAAAGCTGCGCAGGGCAATCGCGCGGGCTGACCTCTTAGCTATAGCCAAGTAATAATAGTAAAAACTCCTTATTGATATTAGGCTTAATGGCTGAAAATGGGGCACTTAGAGAACATATTATATTGCATGGGATAATGGGTGTTTTTACAAATGTTGCCAGAACTTATTAAAAATTTCAATTAAGAGCAATCGTCACCGGCCTTAGGCTACACTATGAGCAATGTTGTGAATACTATACTCGTGGTTGTGTGATCGCGACAAAGCTGCGCAGTGCAATCGCGCTGTAATAAGCCAGGTAACAGTACTAGAAGTCATGTTTATTGATAGTAGGGTAAATAGCTAAAATGGGACACTTGGAGAACAACTGTAGGATTTTCAAGAAAGAGAAGTGAGTGTTCTCTCCATCGAACTGTGGTGAGCAGTCGCACTGTATAGAGCGAATGTTGGCCAGCAACCAGAAAACACGAGCAGATCCTGGACACGATGGAGACGCGAATGATAAGTTGGATACTTGGCCTAACGAGAAGAAACTGCGTCACGAACGATGATGTACGACACATTTTCGGAGTTGCATCTATCGCAAATAAGATGCGAGGTGCCAGATTACGATGGTATGGTCACGTTTTACGAAGTGAAGATAATACAGTAGCAAAAACAGCACTTCGTCTAGATCCACAGGGGAAGAGACCACGTGGCCGTCCGAAGCAACGCTGGTTGGACACCATTCGAAACGACCTGCACATTGCAAAGCTCAAACCACAAGAAGCAGCTGACCGAGTCAAATGGAAGCAAAAATGCACCACCGCCGACCCTGCACCCGCGGGACAATGGCGAAGATAAAGAAGAAGAAGAAGAAGAAAAAGAAGTGAGTGTTCTCTCCAATTTTGAAAGATGTTAGAATATATTATTCTCTTTCAGGCAATATTAATATAAGGTCATTTACATACCAAAAATTTCAACACTTGCTGAAATGTAAAGCTATGTACTTCGACAGATTATGAACTTCAAGCAGTATCAGAGCAGTGAACATGCGAGAACGTCCAAGATATTACCACTGCAATGTAATGGGACCTTTTAGGCCTCGGGCAGAGTTCACGCGATTTCATCGTCGCGAGTCACTCGCTACAAGACAAGTGTTGCGAGTTCCTTGCATGCCGATGTTCTTGTATTTCAGTTGTGATAGTTAGTCACGATTAGTCGTGTTGGAAAACTATCACAACGAAATGCAGAATATCGGCATGCGATGATCTATGAATTAATAATAACGGGCTAAGGGTTGTTTACGTCTGTTTGCCTGCGTGTACGTCTGTCTGTCTGTCGAAATGTATAGAGCGAGTTGTAGCAAAACTTTTGAAATAAAAATTTGGTCATAGCACCTTGCCAGCATCTAGGCCCATCATATATAATTTCGTGGGGATCCGTTGGGTTGATGCTGCAGAAATTGTGCGTCAAAAGGATCCACACGGCTTTAATCCGGCAAAACCGAGTTCAGATTTGGATTTCTTGCAAAGCTACGATTTTCCTGACAAGTAATCTGCGTTCTATGAATTCCAGAACAAAAAGTGCTCGAAAAGTGCTTTCTGCGAAAACAGCGCCAAAAAGTGTTGATCGCGTTAATAGTCGTTCTGGCAAGGTTTTACCTAAAAATTCAAAAAGATTTTTGCGCGAAAATGTAGCTCAAAGTGACTATTATCCTTATGACGGCCACTAAGCCAAAACAAATTCAGTAATCCATTCAAATTCGCAGGTGTTCCTTTGCGAAAAAGTTTTCTTCCTCAAAATTACCGATCTTACGTGGAGATGCTCCAAGAATGAACAGTTGTTTACAAGTTATTTGTGAAGTTCAAGATTGCGTGGTGAGTTTCAAAGTCATTTTTATGCGAATATGGGAAAGGCGAATAGGAGAGCCAGTGCGAACCTCCGCGAAGCGGAGGACGCCCTGGTTTGTTATAATTGTCTTGTCGCGATATATCGTGACGATCATATCGCATGAACTCTGCCGGAGGCCTTAAGTGGAAATAAAGACATTCCGCATAATTGACGTACCATTTGAAAAAGCATGAAGACCTCTTTCGAATGATATGCCACTTGCTACATGGCTTACGAACCAGCAGGCAGGATTGAGATCAAAAAATCCGTTCGAGTTCTTCACGGCTCCACGGCGAAATTTATGATAGAGGAACGGAAACGGTTGCCAGATTAATAGGCGTGATTCGCTTATGTAAGCGACCTTTGAATTGCAGCCTGATTGATGGTGACCAAACGAAAATCTCAAAATGTAATAAAAATCATGATGTCTCATTTTTTCCGTTCAGCCTAATAATAAGACAGACATCGAAAGCAGTAAGAAATTTGGATTTGCAAAAAGTTTCTGTGGCTGAAATGCTAAGTCGCACAAGTATTGTTTTGGTTGCAGACGCGATTCGCCCTAACATACCGTGTACATTTGAAGTGAATTATAACTTTTCAAGGTGCAAACTTTTAAGGCTTAACAATCTTTAAGGAGAATCTTCTCTTTGTTGCCAACTACTACTCAGATAATCGCCAGGGGCAGGCGGCCATGCCATTTTTGGGCAAGCGGGCACCGGAAAAATACCCTATTTTCCGGATTATAAGCCGCACCTTATATAAGCCGCACCCGTCGCAGCGAACAATGGCGCGAAAGCGCCTTCAAAAAAAAATGTTCTGATCTTAACAGATTAAAGACTCGATGCATTTTGTGAGTGCTCTTCACTAGGCATTTCCATGTCATCAGCTATTCTATTACTCTTTCCGAAAGATGGGGACCGTTCCAAGGTTTAGGTTGTATTTTCTTTCGTAAATACATTGAAGTTGACGGTGCTTGTTTTCATTTTAAATGATGGTACTGATGTTAGGGCCGTGCTTTGTTCGAATTGATTGGTACCGTTCATATTTCAACGGTGCTTTCAATTCTTTCACAAAAAGAACGAAAGCAGAAAGTTACTGTCAGGCTACTAGGTGAAATAGATAGTATTTGCTGCTTGTGCGGCGTCGCGCATCGGGACCGCCATCGCACGTTAGCTCGCGCGCGGTGAAAATAATTGCGGCTTATACGCCGGAAAATAGGTAGTTCGCTGATTTTTTGCGGTCCGCTCGCAGATATTTGGAAGAATGTTAGCGAAATTTTGACCGCGCAGCCTCCAGGTACTTTCCGCTGAGAGAAAGTACCTCAAACTTGAGTAATTAAACCAACGATGACACCTCAGCCACACAGAGTCTTACCTGTGCTCGACGTACGCCCGAAAATGCGTAAAAAGAGTCCGAGCGCTTGGTGAAAGTTTGGCCAGCGCTCGCTGAAAGAGATTATTTGACGAGCTCTCGCGGAAAACTCTGTAATCTGCCCCGCTAGCAGGAGTTTCGACCGTAAAGGAGGTACCGCCTGCTGAAGGTTTGGCCACGCCCCAAAATTCTGCTGACCGCCTGCAGAAAAGCGCGAGTTTGTGGACCGCCTGCCCCCGGCGATTATCTGAGTAAAGCACGATTGATTGAATATGTTTGGTGTCAACTTTGTCTCACCCTTGCAAAGATCATTTCTGATATCAAGTCAAAGTAATCCAATGTTACTCTAGAAAAAGTGTATCAACTATGAAGCAACCCATTCTTCCATGACCACGTCGATACTCACAAAATTGTTACTGGGCCAGTATACAGAACGAACATGAGTAGATTGACGATATTGCACAGGCCTCTTGCTATACAAAGGTAGCCGAACGCATTGTGGTATCTTTTCAGTAAAATGAACACTACCACATTGTTTATATTGATAAAACTACCAAGCAATCCAACCTGCAATACTTTTGAGAAAGCAAAGAAATTGAGGCAAGTTCAAAGACTTACAAAAAATAACCAAGTTCCAATACAAATGAAAGCGAGGTGCGAATTCAAGAGCTCTGCGCTCCGACTCGTCGTCTCCATGTTTAAGGGAGATGCTGAAGTATTTTAAATATCTGACACTAAAAATATGATAACTTTTCGTTACGACTAGCCCCACTAGAATTAGATATCTACCGATGCAAAGGTGCAAGGTTTACATTTCTATCTGATTTCTGAAATCCATGTGATTTCAAGTCACAAGATGCAGAACATGACATTAGGCCTGTTTGCGCGCATTTATTTTCTGAAAAGGATTGATAGCTGCAAAAAAGAGCGCCATGCTTACGAATTTTGAATAAATCTGAAAATAAAAGTTCTGAATAAACGAATAGCGAATAAACTCGAGATCTAAAAATTCTTGAATGAATAAATCCCAGATAAGATCGGAAAGTCAAATAATCAAATGAATGAATATCGATTATATTCGAACATTGAGAGTCGAATTTCAAATATTAGAATGCTTTGATTAACGGAGCACCCATATCTATATATCTATCTATCGTTATTTATTATTCGAGTTTTCAAACTATATTCAAAACCTGTTTTTTGATTCGAGTTTCGAATTTAATTCAAATCCCCGTTTTCTCAATTATTCGAGTTATTCGAAAATGGAAAAACTCCGAATACCGAAATTCGAATGTATTTGAATATTTGAATGTTTTATGATCGAGTTACTGCACAGAAATACCCAAGTGCCCTATCCAGCGTACGTTAGAACAAATACTTGTGGAAATCTTGAAGAAATCCGCAAATTGTGCCTAGTAAGTTCATTGCATTCTATGTTTTCCAAACGTCTCAGTTAGTACTACTGCATACCAGTTTGGGATTTGCCTCATAAATCAGCAGAAAATAGAAAGGATGTTTGCGGAAAATAGTATTCACGTCAAATATGTAACACCGCATCTAATTCAAGAAATGCTGCAGAGGAGAGTAACTGTAGTGAAAGAGACGTAGCTGAACACGCTGATTATGGTAAACATAATTTTGCATTTAAATTTCTCTGCACTTTTTACTCATTTATTCATTTACAACACACAAAAGTGCGCCAAAAATGGAATCGCTGACAAAAACATAAAAATGATCAGACGACTAACATCTCGAGAATTATGGCAAACGTTTGAATAATGACTGAATGTTTCTTTTCGAAATCATTATCGTACTTTCGGTTTAGTAGAGCCCAAAAACATTACACAAGGACAAGGCAGGTGATAGTTTGTGAAATGTCGACGGAAGTGACAGCTTACACAATTGCTTCAGTAGATTTACTAAATTTTTCGCACTGGAGAAAGAGTGGACGTAAAGGGAAAGTAGTGATTTTTTGGCTCATCAAAACACAGCACTGTAGATTTCTTACCAAGAAAGATGTTGAGTAGCAGTGGCAATGACTCGGTAAAACGATGACATTAACAAGTTTTTAAAGACCTGACGAGTCTTTCTTACCTGCCGAACGACTCTTTAAAGACGTAAGCGGTCAAAATCGAAAACTTTCATTATTATGTATAATAAAAAGCTAAAAAAAAATTCATTTGATTTTTAATGGATGCTAGTACGTAGCTGGAGTTCTCGTCGCTGCTGTAATTACGCGCTCTCAAGCTGACCTTTAATACACTTTGCTCATTAAGTTCAATAAGCACAGAGCAGAGCAAGAAATCATGGAATTAGAATTTGAAGCAGCTTAAGAATTAAACGAAGCAAATTCTAAGCTTTCTGATACGTTTTTAGTGATACATACATTACTCCCCATTCGCCGTCGCAGCTCCATCCTTGTCAGCAAAAGATGCATCCACAAATCTCTTTGACATTCACACATCATTGCATTAATGCAACAGCCCTTCTATATCAATTTCACCATCGTCGTGTCGAGTATCTCTGCGGGTCAGAGTAATGTCTAATCCAATTGCTCGATTGTTAATACTTCATTTCTTTGTAGTTTTAGCTGAAGAAGCTAAAAGCCTCAAATATGCGGATTTTTCTGGCGTTGAAAGAAGTCTCTGGGTGTAAGTTGTGTCGACTAACTTTGAAATGGCATACAAAGTTTAGGCGCTGCTTCGTTATGTTACCATGCACTTCTCGTTTGACTTTTCTTGAAAAGTTACAATAATTTACTATGGCGCATAAAACTCGTACTCAAAGTCGGGGAAATCTTGTTAGAGCAATAAGCTTCAGGTGATTCGAGGAGACTGTGATTTGATTAATCAGTAAAATAAAATTACGTGTGACGTTTTCTTTGCCTCATAATGCCTAGCTGAAAAGTCCATATGCTGTATTTATGTAGAGGTCTGCTGGGGCTGTTGTGGGGAGCATTCCTGTTTTTGGAAGGCAACCTGCAAAAATTTTTTTCCATAAAGTTTGAAAAATTAACCATTTCTGCCTTCAAAAATGCACCATTTCAAAAGTGATTGACTTTGAAGTCTTTTAGTTCTGCAGAAAACGGGCCAAATCTTTGAATACTGAAAACGTTGTTGTGGTAATGCCTTGCACAAGTGGGACTTGTTACACAGACCAAGCGATTTCTGCAGTGGCGACTTCAGATGCGAAAAGAGTTGCGATCAGAAGCTGTAATTTCTGAACAGAAATTCCAAAACGCTAATGAAGCTGAGAATTAGAAGTTGAAAGACTCCTCATTCAGATCACCTATGATTTGGACGAGATTCTTGAAACTGCACAGAAAAATGGGCAGCAGAAAGAAAAGTTGTGAATCTTTATGGTTGGAAAGATAGTTTTTTTGATGTGCAGATCAAATATGATTTGAGTTTTTAGAAATTGAAAGCGATTCTGAAAAGTTTATGCTTTCCTCTACTCAGTATAAAAATCTTTTCATCAAAATACGACCGAGGCCAAAAAAATGCGTCAGAAAAGAAATTTCCAAAAGTGCCCGGGAACTTTCTTAACAACCTAAAAAATACTGGGAGACAGGTCATTTTTTCACTTCTAGCTCAACAATAACTGAACTGCGAGATAATTTTGTCTCATATCAGGTGGATTATTCAAGTGATAACAGGAAAGCTCGATCCTTCCAAAAACGAAATCCCGTTTTTGGAGTCTTATACCCGAGGTGTACCACCAAATTGCAGAGAAGTCATGCAAACGCTCGTAACTTTCGAAAACCTGCTTCCTTTTTTGAACTTTTTCTAATTAACTGAGATGATCACGCATACATTAAAGGTAAATCGCTTCGCATCAATTCAAATAATTTCTTACATCCATTGTTTCTTTATTATTATTGCTTTCTTTCATCTTCCCTTCTTGAAAATCAGCACGGTATTGCAAGAGTGCCATGCCACATCAAGCACGCAACTTTTGATTTGTGTTTACCGTTTCCAAGCTTTTTTGTTTCAATAACAACGTTGGGAAATAGGTCGTGAATTCTTGATGAAAACTCCATTCAAAGCAACTTCTGTATCGACTACTTTGATCGAGCAACGTGATCATTGTTGCAAAATTTTCAAAAGAAGTTGACTTGTAATAGCAATATCTCTTTCCTATGCAGACTAAAACAGCTGATTCGATAGGTAGCAGTAATCTACCTTCCATTTCATCATGAAAAGTTAAAATGCGCTATGATATCTCACTGCACCGTGTAGTGAATAAAAAGAGTGAATGGTTTGCAGTACATCAACTGATGTTGATAATTCTTCTCATTTTATCATCATGCTAGTTCGAGTCAAGGTCGCTTGAATGAGATGTACTCAAAATATCCTTTCAAGGGAATGAGAGAACACTGTAAGTGCGGTATGGATTTGCCAACTCAAGTAAGTTCATAGGGTTGATTCAATCAAGTTCCTCCAGCGTAGGTGTATCCGCTGTTCCTCTGTATTCAATTCCTATTAGTACTTATTCCATCATAGATAAAAAGACTACGGATTTGAATTTACAACTAGTTTTCATTAGTTTTCATTTACAAATCCAGTACGTGCTTTCTGAAAGCAGCACACTTTGGACCATAACAATGTAACAACTTCTACATGAATTAGTACTCTCACAATACAATCAATTACCAGCACAAATCTGTCGGTGTTGTCAGCCTTGCGTTACTCATACGCATATATACAAGGACAACGTACTGAACATATTCATATTAAGTATCATTGATCTTAGATGCTTCACATTTAATACAATGATGTTTGATTTGTTTGAAGTCTCGGAAAGATTACCCTTCGATTCAACAGGGTTGGCGGATTGAAAGCGACCGCTCGTGCCCACAGTGTGCGTCTCCCTCGCGGGAGTGCTCTCTAACCATTCTCCACCCTTGACCACGTCTCGAAGCCATGTCTTCCAGCCGTCAATCCGTTGAGTCAAAGAATACTTTTTGCTATGCTACAAAAATTCAGTTAGACTTTGCTGCTAAAATGTGTTAATAGACATCCATATTCGACTCATAAGTCTTGGCATAGTTGTAATCTTCTCGTTGGTTGCTTGAGCATAGTCCAAGATTGGTACAGAATTTTATCGCACAGAATACAGACTAACGTTTCGGCAAACTCGCCTTCTTCGGAGTCTGAAAGGTCAAAGGCACATAAGTAAACTATCCGATAAACACCTCATTGGGTACAGAAAAGAGCTCAACCCTTCAAGAAAACAACAGCCTCAACAAAAACCAAGATTAAGCCAGTGCTCAGTTGTATTGTGCTATCTTTACGCCAGAAAAACTATATTTTCAATTGTTCCTAAGTATTCTCGATACCGCTGTGAAATCTTTATGCCTCGAAGAATGTTATATTCGGTAGCAAAGGACTGCATAACATTATCTAAGCAAAATGTACTTAAACCTCAACCCAGGAAAGGTATGGCAATTAAAACAGGTAATGCAAGTGATTGTGTGCATTCCTTTGCTCCAAAAGGTTTTTCGAAGATGACGTTGGTTTTGATGTGAAAAGGACATTGTGTTAAGGCTACACACGTTTTTTGGGCAGCGGTTAAACAGTAAAGCAGCAGTTACCAGAAGACAAGAGGGATTGCAGACTTTAGTGATACTTACACAAAATAACGTTCTCCAGCCGTTTAACATATCTTTTTCCACAAGTAAAAAACTTAAGCAGACG